TCTTATCATGCTTATCAAAAGTTGATAATATAAAAAAATTTCACCGTGCCGTTTTTGAATTATAAGCCCCTAAAGCAGTAATTAAGGGTGTTTTTAGGACGCCATACTGTTGCTATGGTAACCTATTGTGTCACGAAAATGATAACAACGTGTTCACCAATGATTAAGCAGTTTTTTGATACCATGATTATTGCATCAAGTGATAAAGAGTGGTTATAACGACCCATCCAAATATAAGTGCTAGAAACTCTTTTGAGCCACCTTAACATCGATCACATGTTTTCCCGCGCAAACCACCGGCTACTTGTTTTCCCGCGCTTACACCAGTAACACGTTTTCCCGCGCTAACTACCGACAACTTGTGTTCCCGCGCTTAACACCGGTAACATGTTTACCCGCGCTTAACACGGTTACATGTTTTCCCGCGCTTACCATCAAGTTACATGAACCGAACCTTACATGTTTTACGCCTAGTTAAGTCTTTGTTGCCGCCGTAGTCACCTTTTTTCTTTGCCACGATTGAACTCTTTCCTTATGTCTATATTTCAGGAATTCTTCGCCAGTCGCACCGTTCCTGCTGCAGAAAGAACCATTCAACAGTCTCTGGAAAACATTCGCCTCAACTGCACGTGGCTTGCACGTGAATCGGATGGGATTCGCACGTGGCTACAGGATAAAGGATACTAGAAGCACGTGATCACCAAAAGAACGCTTGAAGAGTCTTTCACTTAACACTCACCTTAAAACTTTTACCTGCACAGCAAGCAAGAGAAATTCTACACCTATCCACAAATTCTTTATCTTAGTTATCCCGTTTCTTATCCTTTGTTTAGAAAGAAAAAAGAAAACAGCACCCGTTAATTTCAGTCTAAGACGTTATGATGCATATGAAGTTCAATATGTGATGCGTTTATGAGGTTTCTTAGGTCATCGAATTGCTCTCAGAGTGCTTTCTTTTTGCCTCAAAGAATTGTGCAATTCCTTGTACTGCAAGTCCACTGACAATGATTTGTATTTCCTTACTGTAACGCCCTTTGAAGTTTTCTCTTAAGGTTACCGTAAACCTTCGCGGGTGTCCTTAGCGAAAAAAAAATATTACCGCGCTGTCTTAAAGACAACCACTACAAATTATATATCAATGCAAAGGTTATAGAATGCTCTATTTGATAAAAATTGTTTTGCCTCAATTTTTTTAATCATAAGGCGAGCGCGCCCTAAAAGCGCGAAACGACCGACGTTCCATTGAGCGAATTTATCGGGTATCAAACTCGACCGCATCAACANCTGTTTAAACAAAATCGCATTGCAAGGTCAAATTGGGTCAACTTGCATGGGGCCGCTCGCCTCAGAAATAACTTGCCAAGAAAAAAATTATATCACGTTCAAAAACAGCTCTTGTACTTGCTAGAAGTGAATTTGGACTTATATCACGATTCGTAACGTACTGGACGAAATATCAATTTTTTCGACCTTGTGCCGCCCCTCACGCGGTGGTTAGGTAGAGTGGCTCTTAAAAGCTCGGGGAAGCTAAAAAGTATCGTAATACGTCTTTACTTTGTTTGAGATGCGAGAAGTCGTCTAGTCCGTGAATCAAAATAAGCAACTGCACTTACGTTGTTTGCGCGCATCCCTGAATAGTTGGATGGACACTTAACATAGTTTAAATCTATTGTCGAGCTTCGCGACTATATAAAACCAACATTTCTTATAAAAGACCGGCCCCTACGGATAACGTTGAACAAGAGTTACTCAATTTTGAACGTAACTTGTAGCGACAGGAGGAAAAAGGAGTATTCGTTTGGTGAACGAGAGTTACTGGGCCTCCGCTGGGGCCTAAAAGGTGACGACAGTAAACGAGTGTGCGGATGTTCATTGGTGTACATTGCCTTTTAAATGAGAAAGATTTTTTGCCACGTTGACAGCGCGAAACGACCGACGTTCCATTGAGCGAATTTATCGGGTATCAAACTCGACCGCATCAACAAAGCTACTGCATTATATCATTCACGAGGCATCAATCATCAAAACTGTGTGAGGGTTTGTCGATATTCCTATTGGTTTTTTCGGAAAAAATTTTGGAAAGTTTGATGTCCAAAAATACAGCGACACGTTTTACGACGAAGGCCATTGCAGGGGATCAATTTTGAAAAATGCANTTATCGGGTATCAAACTCGACCGCATCAACAAAGCTACTGCATTATATCATTCACGAGGCATCAATCATCAAAACCGTGTGGGGGATTTGCGTTTTTCACAATTGATCTCCTGCAATGGCCTTCGTCGTAAAACGTGTCGCGACATCAAATTTTCCAAAACAACCAATAGGAATATCGACAAACCCTCACACGGCTTTGGCGCTTCTTATGTCAAATGGTAGCGCATTCCAAAGTTTCGGTGCAGCACAGGTAAAAGAACGGTCACCTAGCGCGGCTTTTGATTTAAAACGCGGATAACTGAGTAAAAGTTATCGCTAGAATTCCTGAGATTATGCTTGGATGGAAGCCTAAGAGAAATAAGAGACGATAAATAAGTAGGCGCTAAAAAAATTAAGAATCTTAAAAGTAATTAAAAGTATTTTAAACTCGATTTTGTATCCAATCGGTAACTAGTGTAATTCATGAATAACAGGTGTTACATGGCAAAAGTTCTGTTCTTTAAAAATCAGTCTTTAATCAATAATTAATTTTCAACTCTTTTTTACTTTGAGTAATAAATTTTCAACTCTTTCCGCCAGAACATTTTATAGCGAGTGGGGACTGGACCTTAGAAGATGTGACAATTGAGACTGTGGACAAAGTATACGACTGCTGCAATCATCCCTTCTCTGATGTCACATACACGTTCCATTTTGAACGGAAATCGTTATATCACGTGCTGTACCAGATGCTGCCTTGTGTTGTGATAGCACTTCTCGTCATCCTCAACTTCATCACCCCCCCTGACAGTGGGGAACGAATCAGCTTCTGTATAACAATCCTCCTGTCCATGAGTGTGTATCTGTTAATTCTGGCCGACTCCTTGCCGGTCACGTCAGATAACGTGGCTATACTCGGCATGTATTACATGGCGACCATATTTCTTATCGGGTTCAGCCTGGTGGGCACGGTTGTGGTGCTGCGATGTCACTTCGCAGAGAGCAAACCGTCTGCTTCTCTGGTTAAGTTCGCCAAGTTTGTGCTCAGGCGTCGAGATAGAAAGAAAACGAGCAACACAGTGTTCGCACGCTCAGCGTCGCTACCAGAAAAAGAGCAAACAGAGGAGATTGAAATTAAAAAGATTGAAGACTTTGGCAGCGAACGCACGCTGCAATTTATTGCCAACAGTATACAGGAACAGAAGGAACTGAACGAATGGAGGGACTCGTGGAAAGAGATCGGGGAAGCGACAGATAGATTGCTTCTTGTTATTTTCATCATCGTTACTCTCATAGCTACAATAGCCATCTGGTTTCAAAGACCGTGATTGACTTATTTGATCCGAATTTGATCTTTTGAAGGCTAGTCACGCCATCTTTATAGAGGATATTGCGTGACAAGCATAGAGGGTTCCCTACTTGCCCCAGTCCTACGCTTTGTAAACTCGCCCCCACCCAGCATGTCGAGATAGAACTGGGTCTTAGGGATCATAGCTTTAGTACAAAACTTACAAAGCTTGTCTGAGATAAATAAGCTAAAATTGGCAAGAACTGCCAATTAAACTGATGTACGTTTTACTATTTTACGTCTAAACGAAACAGATATAGTTTACAAGCACTTAATGACTGATCCCAAGGGAAAAAGTGAGTTTTGTTTCCCGGAGGCGAAGCCGAGGAGAACATTGAGGGTCGAAGGGAAACAAAACTCGCTGTTTCCCTTGGGGCCTGGACTACGAGTAGTCCCTCTTTCGCTTAGTCTGTCGTGCGTGACGCGAAAGAAAACCGTGAGAAAAAAATGGCCGCGCGAAATCCTGGGGGGCGAGAAGCGCGCGAAAGGAAGAACTACTATTTCTTCCCCGTCACGCACGACGGACTATATAAAGCATAAAAGGAATCGAACTACTCGTAGTCTACGTGGGCCGGACATTAAGTGTTAAATATTCCAACTAAAAAATCATGTGGGACAAACTGCGAAAAACATAATTATTTGCCTGACACCGGATGGCAAACAAATTTCCCGCGGTTTGAATGTGGACGACATGATCACGTGCCAGTCGAAAGTTCAAGCCGTAGGAGAATTAGCGAGTTCTGACACATGACACCTTTTATCCTTCAATTGGAAAACATATTTGAACTGGGAGGTATAGCAAACATATTTTATCTTGTTTTCATGTCTTTTTTGCCTTTATTGGTTGAATTTCAATTTAGTTTTCCATTTTACTGAACTGAATCACGTAAAAAAATTCCTCTAACTTGCAAGGTGTAAACAAATAAGAAATAAACTTGAACAGTTCCTATTAAGAACAAATATCTGCCATGTATATAATTTATGTAGCATCTAAATCAATTTGTTTGAACTTGCACTTCCAGTTACATCGTTACATGCATCTTCACTTGACAAGATTCCTCGTAGAATCAACAGAACCATAATTTTTTTTAGACTTGATTGCCAGCCGCAGTTCGGAAATCGAGCCTGTTTTTTTATGTGCAGCAGCTGGTTTTCAATTAAACTTCCTGTTTGTCTTTGTGACTCACCCAAAACGCCGCTAAAACGATATTGTGAAGTTACCATAGCTGTACTGTGATACCAAGGATATCGAATACGATACCTATAATGTCAGAAAACGCATGTGTTCGCCAGTATCTCGAACTTCGCATGTTATTTCACAGGGCGATACAGTTAATTTGATACTAGATATTTGGTAGTACTTTGAAAACAAATGCAACGCCAGCAACAATGATTTATTTTGCTCTTTCTTTTTTTTCTCGTCAACGGCGGCAAACGTCAAATCTCTTTTGTGTCCTCACGCACCGTTCAAACGGCATTGAGGGCGAATTTTCTGGTCGTAAAATTCCCTATGTATTGACTATTCGGATCAAACATTGCTGCACCGCTTGTTAAAATGCCATTTTTTTTTTAACCATATTTGCTAAAATTTACTGTTAGCGATTTGATATTTATTCAGTCTTTTCGATGATATGCTGCAAGTTTATTTGGTTAATTATTTTCGGAGTAATGCCGCTAATTGTGCGCGCATACACGGGCTTAGAAGCGAATTCCTCTTTCCACATTTATTGATATTTTTCCTCTGATTTCTCAGCCAAAAAATTATAATTTTTCTTATTCTACTCAATCAAATTAGAAAAGTGTGTTCATTTTGCATGCTAACAGCAAAAAACGATGAATTCTGCGTGAAATTCAGTGCCGGAGCAATTATGGAACTGATCAAAGCTTTGAAAAGGCGGTCTTTTTACAGAGCAACAATATTTTTCCTTCGTTTAAAGTTTTAAAATTTACTGTTAATTCCGTGTCAGTGATCGATATACACCAGTTTAAACTTTGCAGAAAATAATTTTTTCCATGTCTTATTAGTATCCGGAATTCCTATCACTGTAGAATCTTGCAACCGCGACCTAAAACTTTGATAACTCTTGGCAATGTACTAATTACTGTATATCCTTATCGCTTTAATTTATACTCATTTTAGTTTCGTTCATAATTTTGAAACTACAGCACTGACAGGTGTTCACGGTTTGGGATTTGCACGCTTCATCAAGACACAATTGACTTTTTGTGACTACGAAGGTGGCGCCGAAAGAAAATGATTTCTATTTTACCCACGAATCTCGCGACACTCTAACATCATTTAGTTCGTTTCTTTTTGAATATGAATTTAGATGCAAATATAAAATAAAAGTTAAGATAAATATTTTTTTAATACTATCCGTCGTTGGTTCACGTTCTCAAGTCAACGCAGAATTGGGTCATTTCACGTTGTTGTTTTGCAGAGGACGGCAAAGAAATGTACCATGATTTATAACGCACGTGCACGGCCATTGTACTGCTCATTAAACCATTTGTTTAATTAGCTAGGTAACCTACGTTCTCATTGCTGTTACCGTTGTAGTTTTCTTAAACTCCCCACAGTTACTTTGTTCGAAATGTTTACGGCTAATTTGCAGTTGATTTGCTATCAACTTGATATTTGTTACTTCAAGAAAATATGTTGCTTTTTGATGATCTTCTATATCCTGTGCTATACTCTTGTTAACTGTCGGCTTTGCAATGTATAGAAAATATAACTTGAAAATAAATTTTCATGTTGATCACACACTTACAGTATTGAGAATCGCGCGGCACCTGCACAGCTTAAACCGCTTTAAGCCGAAAGTAATTATATATGAAGTCACTCACAAATTAGCATTGCTTGTTCGGACAATCGTTGCATATTGATTTTGCAATTTCCCTACAAAATCGGAGTGATTAACTGAACGTCGGAACAAAAACAAAAAATACTGATAACGTAACGATAGTCAATCTTTAACTACACACAACTAAAATCAACCGGCTCTATGACTCGGAGCCGAGGCGGAAAATTGAATTTTGAGGATTTGTTCCAAAATACATCCTGTCCGACTTCAGAAACAGTGGTTGCTGCAATTTCTAACTTTGTACTAATCCAGGGCTAATTTCTTACAGAGAGTGCTAATTAGGGAAAAAGTAACAGTGATTAACAGGATTAAGTAATCATGGTAACACGAGGTTTCATCACAGTCGAACCCCTACTAGTAAAAAACGGCCACCCTCGGGGAAATGGGAAGTGGCCGCCGCTTGATAGGGGTTGGCCGCTTAATAGGGGTTAGTGTATCTTGAATATTTTTCACCATCGGGTTAATTTCTTAGTGAACATGGAATCACTTCAAGACAATCATGACAAACATGCGTTCGAATGTTTTTATCACTCGTCACCTTCTATTTCGGACTCTTATCTGCCATTGACTTTTCCAGAACAAAGTTTTTAAAGTATAATAGGCGTAAAGACAATAGAAAAACTATCATCGGGACAACCAAAAGGTGGCCGCAGCCGGTTAATAGAGGTGGCCGGTTAATAGGGGTTTTATTTACAGTATTTTACTGACAATAATTTCGGGACTTTGATAACTGGTCGCTTAGTAATAAGAGATGGCCGCTTAATAGAGGTTCGACTGTATTCAGATGTGATGGATAAAATGTTGCAGTTTATTAATCATATTTCTACTGACGTCGCAATACATTCGTGATTTCCAGCAAATCTTTTCGTGAATGAGGTAAAATGATCTTTTTCCGACAGGCAGAAAATGAACGTAACTAATTTAACAATTGATGGTTCATCGTCAAAAACAAAAGGCTACTGCGTGCTTGTCGAACACCGAAAAACTGCTTCGCTCACGAAAACACAGCAATTGATTATTATCATTTGGGATTTTTTTTTTTTTTGAAAAAAGTAAAAAAAAAAAAGAAAGAAAGAGAAATATTGTAGCATATTACAAAGACAGATCGCAATTTAGTTTCAAATTAAAGCTTGCAATCGCATTTTAGATTACTGGATGCAAGATCTTGCAAGTGAGTATAAACTACGACGTTTTTTTTTTTTTTGTATTTTGCTGCTAAGTCCGGCAGATTTTGTAGCATTGTAAAACGATCGGGTCGTTAATTTTTACGTAAAGCTGTTTCTTACTCATAAAAGATAAGTTCTTAGGCGGCATTAACGTCTCTCTTGACTCATTGCTTTTTTTTTCTTTCAGTTTGCGTCGCCACTTGTTTCTTTTTTCCTGAAAAAAGCGCAAAACACCGTGTGCGGAAACTTCCAAGATGGTGGAAAGAAATCAAAGACTGCCTTTGTGAAATGCGCTTGCGAGAAATACATAAAAAGCACGGCATTAATTCCGAGAATTCAATCGCAAAAGAGTGCACAGCTTTGATCATATCAGCAAGAAAAAACGCTTTGAAACAAGGAAACCATCAGGTTCGTTTTATTAGTTTTTAGCGTATATTAACTACAATATACATGATACAGTTGGTGACCTGACTAACAACTTTAAGATCCTAAAGAAATGTCAGGGAAAGTTCGATTGCTTGATCCACGAAATGTTGTGGNGTTTACTTTTCGCACAAATATTTTTTAACTTGAAAATGGTGCCAGGATGACACCGAAACGTCGTTGCTCAGTTTTTTCGCTAATCTTTATTGTTAACTGAATATCTATAATGTCTGTCATAGTGGAAGCCACCGACTTTTGTAAGATGCGTCCGCGAGAAGTATTTTAAATTCGTCGCATTCATTGCAAAACTGGAAAAAAAAAAAAAAACCTGAACTTTTACCGGCTTGGTGAGAAACAACGCATTGAAGGAAGAAGTCGATATGGCTTGCTGACATTACTGTCAGCCTCACTGACTAACCGTTCTGGTTTTTAAGAGTGATTTTCTGAATGTGTCGAGAATCGGAAGACACTCACGAAAAATCGATTTTTCTTTTATTTCGCCAAAACATACCTTTGGGTGAACTTGTTCATGGAAAAATAGTTTAAAGTTCCAACGATTTATTTTACGGCCAAAATTTAAGAAAGTTGGAAATTTGCATATAATGGCGGTTTCCGCGGCTTAAAATGTTCAGAATTTCACGCTTCTTTAC